GTACCAGATAACCCCCTAGGCGAAGTTTTAGACGGAATCGCGGTGTTGACCTCCAACATATAATATTACTATAGTGTGACATACCTTAACACTGCTCTCGACAAGCTGAGTCTAACACACTTTGAAAGAAAAAAAATATATATATATATATGAAGAAGATATGACGATGCAACGCCTTGCAACGGATTTTTATGTGAACACGTTTTTCTTGCAAAAGTTATGAGCGGTATTGTTTTACAGAATTAAGCTTCCCAATACAACATTTTGCATGAGTAGCTGAACTCACTATTCAAGAATGAACTAGAGAGAACTGTACTCTGCGAGAGCGATGGGGGCACCGTTTATTGGAATTTTTACAGAATTGAATAGTAAAGAAAAATTAAAAAGAGAATTCTATTAGTAGGAATGAAACATTACCTCATCTTGCGTTTTCCGTTGTGATGGATTTAACTTTAAGCTATGTTATAGGGTTTTGATCAGGGTTAAAAGCCGCACATTTTTCTCAAAACCTCATATCAAATCTCTCAGTCTGAAATTTTATAAAGGGTATTTGCTGCTTGAGTGCAAGCGCTATAATTTAGGCTGGCATTTGCTTTCTTACTTATGTGAATTTGCGAGTACTTTTGAATCACATATGATTTAATTCATAAATGGTGTATATCATTGATGAATTTGTACAAAAGACATTGAATTTGGATTTAAATGTGGCAAAAAAACTTGCTAGGACGACTTGACAATGCATATATGTCATGGTTTATATACCAACAGCAATAAAAAGGCTTTAATGCAGGGAAGACAGGAGCAAAGGAATGGTAAATTCTGGTGGACATCACTATTGAGTGGGTTTGACGCGAGCATTGGTAGCGTTTGCAGGAACGTACATCATAGAAAGCTTTCTATCATCTCCAGCCAAGCAGACTGTACGAACCAAGGCACCGATTACATTGTACGGATCGCAATTTGAGGATGGTCGACGGTCTTCGAAGTAACCCTGAATAAAAATAAGGAAATTTCACGTGCAAAATGCGAACTCTGGTTTTTTTGAATGATAAAAATAGTCACCTCATGTGTCTATATGGTGGGCGAAGCGAATTCTTTTTGCCT